AAAACTTCATAAGCATTGGTAACGACACTAATAAGCTCGTCAATATTTTTTGGAGCCTCTTGGTGTTGTAAGGCTTGAATAGCACTGAAAAATCCCAAATCCAAAACATTCATATCAGGAGAATTCGGTGGTTGACACATTAGGCGGATGTCAAATCCATCTTGTGAAGCTACCTGTCGAAATTCATCATCGTTTATTTTGACATGAGTTCGAGCATTATCTTGTTGAATATATATTGGATGAGTAGAGTCGCCAATTGGCCATTTTTCCTTTATAGAAGGAATAACCTTATCAATTAAAAATGATCGTATGACGTCCCTATTCACTACACTTATTGGTTTTGTCTCTAGCGTTCCTGCAGGACGATTAACACTGCCTCTTTGTGCTTCCTCTTGTATAACAAAGGGCCATATACCAATTTTTCCACAGAACAACACATTTCCTAAAGCATCAATCCGTGGCCGAGCTAAAGCGACTAAAAACATTATTTTAAGTATATAATTGCTACTTTTGCAACTTCGCAGCTGCTCTTCTTCACCTGGGAGCATGTAGTAAGTCTGCTTCTTTTTAGTCATGTAGAACCATTTTTCATCAATATGTACAATATTGTACATATCAATGAAACTTGGGTCATCTGGAATGCTATCACGATCAACCATTGACAAGCAGAATTGTAGTCGAGATATCTTATTTTGCTCTGTCAAAAAAGGCTTTATAGTATTTGAGTGCCTTTGTATCTCTTTTCCTTTCAAACGTCTACCCAAAGTACTTTTGTTTACATCTAATGAGCAAGCAAGAGTCCGGAGAGTTGTCCGCTTTCTAAGAGGGATTTCTCGAAAACGATTCATGTCAATTTCAATCCTCTTACGACCACAATTTTTTGCTTTTCTCCGGGATACATCATTTTGTGTACCATAACCTGATTGCTTCCAAATGCGATAAACTGTCCGCAATGATACTGAAAAATGTGATGCTACCATTTTCCGTACTCCTTGTCCCAATTTGCCGTTCACACTCTTTGCGAGTAGCATTTCGTACAATGCTATACGTTTATCATTGCTTAATTCTCTTGGTGTACTTGATGATTGTGACAACTCTTCATCATCACTACCATTACTATCTGTATGATTTTAATATTTTTAAGAAAATAGAGCACAAGTATACACATTAGAGACAATTCACATCATAAAAGACATACTAAAACAAATAACCAACATTAGTTGATAAGTTTAGAGCATTTTTTTTCATTTATTTAAATCTGCCATTTTTGATATG